CCAGAGAGATTTGTCCTACATGGGAAAATGGGTTTTCCCTGCAGGGCAAACACAGCAACTCCAGAGGATTTTCTCCCAAAACTTTTCGGACAAGAGAAAACATGACCCAAAGGGATGGCAGTGCTACATTCCTAATGCTAGGCATGAAAGGGCAGCATAGTTTCAAACAGGAGCATAGTTTAATAAGACACGTTCCTTCTCTGTGTGGAGCCACAATGAGAAAAACTTCCTTTCTCTGTGGGTTTTTCCACATTCTCATTTTTGTGGCTTGTATGCCCCTATTGAGCTGCAGTGGCTCAAGTGGTTAAGACACTGAACTGCAGGCTGTGGAAGGTCAGTAGTTCAGCAGTTCGAGACCCAGGTGCCGCATGATGGAGTGAGCTCCCATCTCTAGTTCCAGCTCCTGCCAACCTAACAGTTCGAAAGCAAGAAATTGCAAGTAGATAAATAGGTACCACTTTGGTGGGAAGAGAACAGTGTTCCGTGCACCTTGGTGTTTAGTCATGCTGGCCACATGACCACGGAAACGTCTTCGGACAGCGCTGGCTCTTCGGCTTTGAAATGGAGATGAGCCCCGCAACCCTAGAGTCGGATTCGACTGGCTTTCGAACAAGGGAACCTTTACCTTTTTTTGTGTGTGTAGTTTATTTTAGTTTTTACATCATATACAAAATAAATATATTGGTTTACAATATTTTTGGAGCATCTTATCCATATAGTTCTATCCATCTATCTAGTTTCTGCCATCTTTTCTCAAACACACTATCAAATTTTCCCGCCAATAACGTATTTATTTTGTCCATTTCTTTTATGTCTATGATTTTTGTAATTAATTCTTCTCTGTCTGGTAATTTGTCCGATTTCCAGCATTTTGCTATAGCTATTCTAGCACTTGTGAGAATATAGCGTATCAAGCGTGCATCGTTATACTTTATTGTATCGGGTAATATGTTTAATAAATATATTTCTGGATTCAGTGGTAAGTCTATTTTTACTATTACTTGAATAAGTTGCTTTATTTTTTCCCAAAAATTTTGCCACTTTTTCGCATCTCCACCAGATGTACTCATGGTTGTATCGAGGAACCAACATTTCTTTCCCATCTCCAGCAGTTCCCTGAAACGTTCCTATAGCATTTTAGTGCTTTATCCGGCGTCCAATGGAACATTTTGAAGATGTTTTCCTTGTAGGATGTGGCTCTTAAAAGTTTTGTTGAATTCCACATTTTTGCCCACTTCTCTAGACCTATGTTATTTCCTATATCTGGTAGTCCATGTCTTCATACATGGTTTTATTTTCCCTGTTTGGAATTCGTCCTCTAGTAAATAGTTGTATATTTTCTGTATCATTTTGTCTGCAGAGGACAGCCAAATTTTATCTAGGTTAGTGTTTGTCTTTTCAACGCCTCTTGTTTTATCTTTGATGAATCTCGATTTTAATTGCATTTTCTCCCAATTAGAGAGATTAATGTTCATTGCTTGCAAGGATCCAAAATCTTTCAATTCATTTTCTTTTGTGAGTAATGTACCTTTTTTTTAATGTCCCTATTACTTCGGTGGGGTTTTTTTTCTTTTTCACATGTGTTTTGCTCCCTCTAGTGGCGGATTCAATATTAAAACCCAGGGAGATATACCAGACATACAGTGATGTAAGATTGAATTGACCACTAGAGGGAGCAAAACACATGTGGAAAAGACCCCCCCTCTCCGAAGCAATAGGGACATACAAGCCACAAAAATGAGAATGCGGAAGAGCCCCGTGTTTCTGTCTGAACTAAATCTTGGAGTGTAGTGGGACAGATTAAAGGAACAGGTTTGTCAAAACATCACAGAGGGGAAGAGGAGAAGAGCAGAAAGAAGTTCATAAACTTAGCTTGGAGCTGGAGCCATTTAGTAGTTAGAATGTCAGAGCAGGATCTGGAAGCTCACTTGGTGACCCTTGGGCCATTGTCTCAAGTGGTTAAGATGCTGAACTGCAGGCTGTGGAAGGTCAGTAGTTCAGCAGTTCGAGACCCGGGTGCTGCATGACGGAGTGAGCTCCCGTCTCTACTTCCAGCTCCTGCCAACCTAGCAGTTCGAAAGCAAGAAATTGCAAGTTGACAAATAGGTACCACTTTGGTGGGAAGGTAACAGCGTTCCGTGCACCTTAGTGTTTAGTCATGCCGGCCACATGACCCCGGAAACGTCTTCGGACAGCGCTGGCTCTTCAGCTTTGAAACGGAGATGAGCACCGCAACCCTAGAGTCGGACTCGGCTGGCTTTCGAGCAAGGGAACCTTTACCTTTAACCTACTTCATAAGGTTGTTGTGAGAATACAATCAGGGCAAAGAACCATACATTCTGCCCTGAGCTCCTTGGAGGAATGGCAGTCTTAAAATAGATGGATAAATAGGTAGTTGGGCATGAGGGCTAGAAACCTGATTTCCCCCCCCCCCAAAGAAATGAAAGCTGAAATTTTCAGCCCATTAACTGCGAAATCCAGCCTTTATGGGGCAAGCAAGTGGGTGTGCAGAACATACCAAGATGTGACTAAGAGATTATTTTAACTTTTATAAATCATTAACACTGATCTGAAAAGGGTTTTCTAAAATGTTACATGGCGTTCTGCATCAACTTCACTCTTTTCTGGGCTTTGTTCCGTTTTTGCCAGCTCCCTGAATCACAGTTCTAGCTCCCGCGGTCTCGTTTAGAACGACACAGCAGAAGTTCAAATGCTGTCTCAGAACCTTAACTTTGTTTGCCCACCAAAAACGAAAGCACAGCGTGTACCTTTCAGGAGGAACAAAGGCAGACGGAGCTACTGTGCCTTTTGATTGAAGCAAGAGAGGGGAGGGGGGGAAATCTTCTTCTCTCACATTTGCTCCTCTGCCCTTTGCAAAAATGATTCACGATGCAGGCCTGGTTACTTTTGATTCCTATTTTAGTCCTTCAAAGATGAAGCAGAATAAAAGTTACATGCAGCTTTGGGTAGCTAATTCCAGAGTTTTCCAGGACAAATATCTGTCTCTGTCTTTAAGGTTCTGCAAGACTCCAGTTTATTCTTGCTGCAATAGACCCACACAGCTACTCCTCTGGAGTTAGGGATGAGCAACTGTCTCCCTATTGGTTGGGAATGTCTCTCTGTTCTGTGTCTCTCTCTTCCTTAATGCCAGTTTAACTTGGAGTAATTCTAAAGCTAATTCCTTAATTGGAACATAGTCCATTTGCCGCAGCTATCAGCGCCTTCTATTCATTTGCATCTTTCTCCCTTGATGTCCTTAATGCACTTCTGGGCATTGATAAAGCACTCTGCAAAACAAACCAACCCAGATTCAGTCTTAATGTCATTCTGCCGACAATGGCATTGAGATTCTTTTTGCGCATGTGGTGTTTTACAAGATGCACATATTTGCTCCTGCGCATTAGTGAAATATCACACAAAAACCTGAGAGAGGGTCTTCTCAGCTATGGCCCCAAAACTGTGGAATTGTCTCATCTAGGATAATCATCTGTCTCCTTCCGTCACTGTCTTGTGCCAATGAGTGCAGACTTTTTAATTTCATCTCGCATTCCTTCAATGATCCCTGCTTCCTTCCCTGTCTTTTGAGTTACTTTTTAATGTGCTTGTAACATGTATTTTAATTGTTTTATGGTAGGTTTTTGCAATGTTTTGTTTCCACTTTTAGCCACCTTGGTGGCCCTTAGTGGGTAGAAAGACAGCATGCACATTTTGCGAATGAATATGTAAAATCCTCGATACAACCATGAGTACAACTACATCAAGACTGCCCACTGACAGAGTGTTATGGGGTGTGATTAGGTCATTAACTCGTTGCACATGCACATTGGTAACACAGAGTGGGAGGATGGGCAAATGAATGAAAGGGACCAGATGCAAGCTGTGCATGCCTAATGCTCTGTACAAAATCCAGAAATTTTAAAAAGTCCCTGGATGGCCCAGGTTAGCCTAATCTCCCCAAATATCGGAAGCGAAGCAGGGTCAGCCCTGGTTAGCACTTGGGTGGGAGACCAGCAGGGAGGCCTAGAACTGCTATGCAGAGGGAGGCTATGGCAAACCACCTCTGTTGGGGGGGGGCGTGGCTCAGTGGCAGAGCACCTGCTCAGCATGCAGAAGGCCCTGGGGTTCAAACCCCAGCAGCTCCAGTTTAAAAGGATCAGGTAAGAAGTGATGTGAAAGACCTCTGCCTGAGACCCTGGACAGTGACTGCCAGTCTGAGTGGACAATACTGACTTTGATGGCCCAGTGGTCTGATTCAGTATAAGGCAGTGTCATGTGTTCTGGAAAACCCTACAGGGTTGCCATGTCAGCTACGAGCTGATGGCAAAACACACACACACAAAGATGCCGGATTCCTGATGCATCAGTCCTGCTTTGGAAATGAGACCAGCTATTCCAGATACTAAAATCCAAACTGGAATGTAAATGAAGGAAGCATGGTAGTCAAAAAGCTTTGGATTGTCTGATAATGTATTTTTAGAGCGTCAGTTTGGTGTAGTGGTTAGGAGTGCGGACTCTATTCTGGGAGAACTGGGTTTGATTCACAACTCCTCCACAAGCAGCTGCTGGTGTGACCTTGGGCCAGTCACAAGTTCTCTCAGAGCTGTTCTCTCAAGGGCAGTTCTCGAGAGAGCTCTCTCAGCCCCACCTACCTCACAGGGTGAAGGCCCTCCCTGGCCCCAGGCAGGCAGGGGTGGGGAGAGGCAGGGAGGAAGCAACTTACCCTCCCTCTTCTCCTGCCTCCTCCTGGCTGAATGAGGGCCGGAAGTGGGGCGTCCGGAAGCAGGGGGCGGGGCTTCGTCATGTGCCCCGCCCCCGTACCGCACCCGGGGGAACTGCGATCCCCCGCGATCCCCCCCGAAATGACCTCTGGTCACTCCAAAGGTTTCTCCCGTTAAGGATTAGCGATGTGCTCCTCGGCATTAGCATTTTGGACTTTGGAAGGAGGCAGGTGTCCTTTGCTTTGCCTTAATGGGTTGCTTTTCCTTCCCACTGAACAGCATATGCGAGAGGCTGCTGAACGGCGGCAACAGCTGGAATTGGAGCATGAGCAAGCCTTGGCTGTTCTCAACGCAAAGCAGAAGGAAATTGAACTCCTGCAGAAGGTAAGCCTAGAGGGCAGGGAGGAGGCCAAAAGCAAAGCAAGAGGGCAAACGGGTGGGACTCAGACTATTGCCGCTCAAGGGCAAACCTCCGCATCGGCGTTCTTAAATCATCGAAGTTTGTAAAACTTTCTGCACAACTTTTTGCCCACCTAGGAGTGGATCCAAATGTAGTGCCCCCTTACCCCACATTTTCCAAATCCACTTTTCCTGTGTTTTTACCCCTTTCGGATCTGAACTCTCAGTTTTCTAGTGAAGAATTCCCAATTTCGAATTTTGTTTCCCACTGCCTTTTTGTTTTGTTAGTATTGCGTGTTCACCCCCCCTCCTGCCCCCCTCACGTTGTCCCCTGAACAATCTGCAAATTTTTAAAGCATAATGTTGATTGTGTTACGACACCTTTTCCCCCATTATAATAAAGCAACGTTATAATGTTGGGACAAAATGGGCAGTGAAGTTTCATGTAGCCTTCTCCATGCAATTACCCATTCAGGAAGTTCCCTCCCTCCCTCCCTCCCTCCCTCCCTCTCTCTTTCTTTCTTTTTTGGTGGTTAGGTTTTGACCCCATGCTCTTATTTTGTTTCTTCATTCCTCC